GTTTCAATTGAACGACTATAGTTACAACTCAAACTACGTCATATGACTTTGTGAACTCTACCATGCTAACTCAGCCATACAGCAGGATTACTGGAGTTTCGATCTTGGCCGTCGAAAGAATTGAGAAAGGGTACGAATCTCTTGGGGTCAGCATATTTTGAGTTGGAAGAGGGGTCAGCGTTTTCTAGGGGGCGTCCAAGGTCACTAAAAGTAAACTTGGTTTAGTATTCTATATGCATGTACTGTTTAAACACTCTGCAAAATCCAAAGTGGGTGGTCCCCCAATAACTAGGGCTGGGACGATACAACTTTTTCTATATCGACACATTTTTCGATATTTCAGCCACGATACGATATGCATCACGATATGTTTAATTGCTTATAAAATCTTTTTTTGAATTGAAATAATCAAATTATTTCTTTGCAAAAGTGAATAATTTATTCAAAATAGTTGTTTACATGTTGTAAAACAAAAATATTTTACTCAAGTGGGGTTAATTATTATTCAATTTCTATATTCATATTTAACTTATTTATTTTATTTATTAAACCCCAAATTTAAATAAACATTTTGAAAAACAGAAAAGATTTTTTTGGGGCATATATTTTTTAAAATGTATCGATATGTGTATGTCCTCACATATATCACGATATCGATATCTCGATATATCGTCCCATGCCCTACCAATAACCCTACCCCTCTAGATCTGTGCATATCTATGTTACTAAAAACTGCTTTATTAATTGGCAAAGTTTTTAAAAGCATTATTTTTTACTTATTGTCTAACATATAGGAACCATATTTGTGCGACATGATACTTCTTAAATTAACTCATTCTAAAAAAAACTTGATAGAGGTCACTTAGTCGTACAATAAAGCAAAAACTGATACAAGTACAAATTGCCTGGTGGATGTTCAGGTATCAACATATTGTGTCATGCATGTAACAATAAAATACAAAATGTAATTCTCAATGCACTTTTGAAGAGTGTAAGGGAATCTTTTTTTCTTTCAAAAGGGAAAACGAGATATCCAGGGAAAATTTTCTCTTGGGGAAGAATACCAGTATCTACTGCTGGTATCTTGGAATAAATTTACAGAGATTTGTAGATATCTTGCGAGTCCGACATGATGTTATCATCCGAGATTTGCCAAATTGATGTTAATAGAAAAATTCGCGGGATTTACGTTCCTATGAAAGTAAACAAAAAAATTGCGCGTCATCTAGCGCGTAAATTCAGTGAATTACTGTTGGTTTTGAATCGGAGTCTGTTGATTTTGCAAACGAGTCTGTTGATTTTGTTTTAAGGTTGTCTGTTTTGTATTTCAGTATGTTCATAAAATCAGTTGTTAGTTTTGCATTAACGTCTTTTTTTTTACCCTTTCCGCCACCCATAATTAACACCATTCTAATAAACATATATGCATTCGATTTATTTAAGATAGTTTCTATTTATTACTAATGGAGTTTTATGAAGAGACTTAGATTTACATTCGACAACTGACTTTTACATTTTAGTAATAGGAGTTGGTTTCTGTTTGAATTGTAGAAGTCAGTCGTCGATTGTAAAAGTAAATCTGTTCATAAAACTCCATTAAGAAGAAAGCACTTAATGGGGCCTTCAAATCAACATTTAGATAATTATTTCTCTTTCATATTTAGATATTTTACTTGATAAAGACTTTAATGGATCTAATAACCAAACTCTACATTAAACGTGATTACTTCAAAAACTTTTCAATCGTCAACTTCCCTTTTTTATGGAGCAATTTACCTTCATCATCTGCATACGGAGTTTATATACCCCAGTTGATTCGATATGAAAGAGCATGCTCAACGTGTAAACAATTTTAAAACGAGGTAAATTATTGACAAACAAGTTGATTAAACAAGAATATCAGCAGTTTCGTTAAAGTCGTAATTTCGTAAGTTATATGGTCGATACACTGACCTTGTCAGTAACTACAATCTATCATAAGTTAAAATCCTGATTGACTTTTCCCTTACTAACTAGTGGAGCATTATAAACATACTTAATGGTGGACGGATTTTCCGCTATTTCCCAAACATGACAAGGAGAACAAGGCGGATGTGACCGGTCGGCAGGTGATGTTCACTCCTCCATGGCATCTCACCCCACCTGTGATGTATTGGAGGTTCGTGTTTGCACTGCTTCTAATTTGTATTATTAAATGTATTTTAAAGCTTGAATACTGTTACTTATTTCCATAGATTTATTCTAACACATCTGTTTCATACTTATAAATTTTATTTGAAAACGACGTTAATGGTAATCTAACAATCAAGCTCTTTGACAAACGTTATGATTTAAACGTTTCAATAGTCAACTTCCCTTACTTATGCAGCAATATACATTCATCACCAGCATACGGATTTCATATACTGAATCTCCGTTGCTTCGCTATGCTAAGGTTTGCTCTACGTATGAACAATTTCTGAAACGAGATGAATTATTGACAAACAAGTTGATGAAACAAGAATTTCAGCAGTCTCGTTAAAGTCACCATTTCGTTAGTTCTATAGTCGATACAATCACCTTGTCAGCAAATACAGTTTATCAAATAAGTCAAATGCTGACTTCATAATAATTGTTAGTCCATTATTTGCACAATGAATTGACGACAGATTTTCCCTTTATTTCCCGATTATGACGGGTAGCACATGGCGGGTGTGACCGGGTGGCAGGGGATGCTCACTACTCCATGGCACCTGGTCCTAACTCTATGTTTTGGAGGTCTGTGTTTGCTCTGCTCCTATTTTCTATTGTTTTAGGGACTTTTTATTTTGAATACTGTTCGTTATCTCCATATGTTTCACTCTAATACTTCAAAGAACGTTGAATCACATTGAAATGTAAGATATGAAAAAATGCTGCATGGAGGGATTTTAATTTCAAACTTCATTTTGAGACTTTTTAAATTAAAAAAAAATCAGTTAGTGTTATCTCTCCTGGCTGAAGAGCAGATATTATTATATCCTCAAAAATCAGAAAATTATCGACTTACATAAATATAAATTCAACTGGCTCCTTGATAACAACTATCAAAACATGGTGTTCCTTATTGTCTTAATAGGGTTTGAAAAGTTTCTGTGTTTTAAATTGATTTTTCAACATTCATATTGTTGGTGGATTTGAGGACGTGTATCTAAGCTTTTTTTGCTTCAACTGCGGCAAAAACTATTGTTATAAAATCATGCCCACTATCTGTTAATTTTTTTCTCCGTGTATTAGGGATATCAGTTTGCTACTTTTATCTTTGATCATGACTGGCGCATCCTTCCCTTCCTCTGAATCTTCAACATCTACATGGGATGTGCTCAAAGTACTTAAAGCGTGCGTTTCCTCTAGTTTGGCGCCAAATTGTGTAACATTTGGACTATCTTTTAGCAGTAAAACTGTGCAAATACTTATGTTTGTGATTGACTTTGAACCATATTAGCAACACACTTTACTTATTTCTATAGCATGCATCAATAAATTCTGTCTATTGTTATAAACTCCTTTTATATTTAAGCCAAAAAATAGAAGATTTTTTTTTTTCATTTAATTATATCATAAGAATCTTTTTTCAATCCTCTTCTTACAGAGCATGGGGTTATGTGTGGTTCGAATTAAAAAAAATGGTTTAAGCAACGTCAAGGATGGCTTATTATATTTTTCAATTTAAATCAAAATAACTCGACAATGAACACAATTATGATTCGATCAACTGTCTTTAAAATAAAATTACACCTTACAATACAGTACCGATTGCATTTGAAGTACATAGGAAAAAGGTAAATGAAGGATATGGGGATAACGAACAGTATTCAATTTCAAAGTCAATTAAACAATACAAAAATAGGAGCAGAGCAAACACGGACCTCCGAAACATCAGAGGTGGGATCAGGTGCCATGGAGGAGTGAACATCCCCTGCCGACCGGTCACACCCGCCGTGTGGTCCTTGTCATATATCATACTATTTCATCATTATGGTAGTTTTAAAAAAGAACACACAAAAACAACCTTATCATTATTATAAAGTAATATTGACTGCAGAATTTTAGAGCCCTGTATATTAAAATCAAACTTTGCTTGATGTACTTACCAAAACTTGAACAAATAACTACAACACAAATAAAATATAAAGGAACATGCAGTTAAAGTTTTAATAATGAAGCACTTTGTTATTATGATAAGTGCAACATATGATCTAATCAGCTTAAAATCTGCAAACAAATAATTAGATATTTATAATGGAATGGATATTGATGTGTTACTCTAAATATTGAAATTTTACGTCGAATTTATTTTGCAAATCTGTGTCAAAAGCTTTTTTATTTTTTAAAAATATTTTTTCACGTTTCAAAATTTTGAGAATATTATCATGCCGCGCTAAAATCAAAATGCGCCAAAATTTTCATGACAGTGCTAGGGATTCAAAGATAAAAAAAAAAACTGGTATCTGTTTTGTTTTTATTTAAAAGCGACGTATTGCCTGTCGAACCATCAGACAATGTAATCTGTAGTTGACGCTCTCTCTAAACACAGATTATCACAGGTAATTACATGATCAGGTTTCTTAATATGACCACTGCTTTGTTTATTAATTAGATAAATTTTTATCAGAAAAGTTCTCTTTAGCCTTCGACTTAGGTAATCAAAAAGTCAGCAAAATACTCACCTTTTCATTTATTTTAAACATTCGGCGTAAATAAAATGTCTTTTAACTTATCCTAACAAAGAAATGAAGATCATAACCAGGAATCTGCTGACTTATGCACAGGTATGAAAACACAGTGGTACTTCCACTGGCAAAGCAATGGAAGAAATGAATACACTGCATGGGTAATGTGGGTACATGTAATAAGGAATAAAATATTGTAATTTTTTGGGGCAACGACTATACTTAATCAGCGTCTTCTCATTCATCCCGGGAAAAACAAATTACGAACCTTGAGTAAGCCTATGATAATTTTATTCAAAATACAAAAAAGTAGTACGAACAAGAATCTGCACTCTACAGATATTTTGTACAAATCATAGACACCATTTCAATTGCTTTTCCTTAAAAACTGACTGGATCATTAAATCTTCCAGCAAATAACATTACGTCGTTTACAGTATCACGAATAAAAAACAGAAACGGGTGATCGGCTCGAAACTCTAGAGGTCTTTGAATGGATCTAGACATAGCAATGATTCCCGTGGCCGCGGCAGCTTCAGTGCCTTCTTCATTGACCTCGACAAAGGCTTTATGGAACACCTCACTGATGTATACATCTTGATATCTGTATATGCCTGAAAAATTGGCTCTGTTTGAGTCGAATGCTGACGACATACCCATTGCTGACAAATGGGATTTCAACTGAAAGGCAGATTCCAGTTTGAATTTTGGCAGATAAACATTCACTTCGTTTTCTCTTAGGCAGCTTAGTGCATTTCTAATTACAGTCTCGGTCAAACTCCTTTCAACGGTCTCTAAACCATTTACTTCAGTTGGGAGGAGAATAACCATACTCATTGTTTTGCCTTCATAGGGTAGCTCAAGAACGTCTAGCTTCAAGCTTGAAACATGGCAAATTTTAAAATATTCCTTCTGGTACATCATATCCGTCATGAATTTTGCTTTGCCATTTCGAAATTCCATTTTTGTCGTGAGCTCTCCTTTAAATTTACTGTTCCAGATTCCCTTGAAGTAAATGGCATTTACAAGAACCATTAATGTTCGACTGTTTAATACTCCTGCCGGGATGAGATTTCTGATTTTGTTCTCTGTTTGCTGACTAACCCAGGAATTTATTTTCCTACGTGACATTTCAGACTTGGAAAAATCCAAAGACTCTACTGTTGCATTGAAATATCTTGCACTACTATGAAGAAATGATTTTTCTGCTATAAACCTCATGCTTTGGTAGATTCTATTTGCTGTTTCCACTGTATTGTTTTCAGCAGCAGCCGAGAGAAACCCTAGATACATGCCGTATACTGAGTAAACGTCTTTACCCAGTCTGCCAAAATGAAGAACTTGATTCATTTCTTCAAGTGTTTCTGCTCCTGCTCCTAGGTGAACCATTGCAAGGGCCATAGAAATGCTGAAAGGCGAAAAGAAGACGTTGGATTCCGATGGTAACTGCTTCAACAGACTCAACATAAATTCTCTGTTTGCTTTTGTGAAAGCTTTGGCAGTGTTTGCGTTTTGAAATGCAGGTTCATTTGTTGTCACTTCATGTAGAGCAGAGTACATAAGTAAAATTGCAAAACATGCTGAACGAAGTCGATGAAAGGAATCAGCGAGCATGGTTAAAATGAGTTCCTTGATACCAAATCCTCCCTAAAATGATGAGATTTTTATTAGAAAGAATCAAAACATGAGCCACAACGCTCACCTGATTTACTTTGGCACAACTGTTCTATATAAAATTTTCCTCTATTTTCATGTTTTTCTACAAAAGTTTTAATTGATATTTGTGTCATTATCCATTTCAAGGGGTGTAATTTGAACCAAAAAATTTACAATACAAGATGTTTTCACTTTCGTACGATTCTTCATACTTTATTTTTATGGAGTAGGAACGTTTTAAACAAGGTTTTCCAAGTAAATCCTCTTGTTTAGTCATTAAACCCGAAGACCATGAACTGACAATTGATTTAAAATCTAAGGTACCATAGGAACAGCTTTTTGGTCCAACATTTCTTGAAGAATCTTACACACAAGATTCAGCCTTTAAGACCTAGTCGATCTGGAGAAGATTTTCCATATGCATGTCAAAGATAAATTTTGTATCCCTATTAGAGCCCTAAACTAATATTGAGGTCCATGATTTGAACAATTTATAATCTACACTATCAGAGGAAGCTTCCACACCATTTCAGCTTTTGAGACCTATTCGCTCTAGAGATAATTTTTAAATATTGGTTACCATTTAATCTGTTCATTTGAATTCTTTTTGTAGCCCCACCCTGCCTCCGACTTGAACAAAATTAGAATGTAGATTCAAGAGACCTTCGAATTCTTCAAAATTTTTAGCTGTTTTGGAGAAATTGTTTCAGAGAAAGTAATGTTAAAGGATTTTACCTATAAAGTACTTGTAAAGATCTTTTTTCATGACACCCTTTCTTTACCTTTTCTTGATTATCTCCCTAAAGTAGGGTGTTTAGTCTTTCATTTTTGACAGTGTAGAATTTTCATTACCTAAGGCTGCTTTGTACAAACTCCGATTCATAATTGGCCCAATTGCTCTTAGGAAGAAATAAAAAAAAAATTGACAAGTTTACTGTAGGACGGATAACGGACATCAGGTCATCAAAAACACACTTTAGCTATAGCTTTGATTAAAATATAAACAAAAGATTTTTGAATTGTGAAAGGTATAAATGTTTTAAATATATTGCATTGTATAAATCAAAAGGATCTGAAAAAAATTCTTACAACTTACTTAGTTCCTCTCCTTACATCTAAAACTTGTCATGAAAATTAGAGAAAAATTAAAATTTTTAGAAGGGAAAAAAATAACATATCAACCAGAAAATCAACTTGCTTCGCCAATAAGACTATGAACAGAAGCAAAAAATATATTATCACAGATAATTCAATTTATGCCGCTATGAGAAATTTGTTAAATTTTACACAGTCGGATAATCCTGCATAACCCAGCCCAGTCTGTCGGATATGCGCCTTTATTGCAGACGCCATTATTATATAACCTTTCATAGCCAAATTCCAACCTTGGTTTTCTTTATCGTATTTTTACGGATTTTAACCCAATCAACATTTTGTTTCTGTTGCGCCATTTTTGTAAGCTTTGTATAGCGGTGGGAAAAATTCACCACCCACCCTGTTTTGGGGTTTGGTTTTGTATTATATTGCATTCTATTCAAAATTTGTATTTTCATAATAACTGGTTTTTTGCCAGTTTTTTGCATTGGTGCAATTATTTGGACGCCTGCAAGGATGAACTCATTTATGTTATATTTTATGCATATTTACATGTAATCGGATATTTTCATTGCATGTAAATTTCTAGTCAGTTTCAGGGGGATCACATCTGTACCTTTCACATATGTGCATGTATTCAGTATTGTTTAATATTAGGTGATCCCCCTTAATTATTTGTTATACATTTTACTTTACGTCATTCAATTAAATGACATAATCGACAAAACTGCATATCCGTGTTTGTTTTTTTTTTACTGCACTATCAGGCTGATATTTCTGCTAGGAGGCATAAATACTATTTTTTATCTGCAAAAGTAAATGAGCATCACAACATAATAACAAATTTATATCAAGTAAGTTGAAACCATTTCAAGCATGATTAAGCTAATAAAAAGAGTAGAAGAATAACATTAGAATAAAATTTGGATGCAAAAAAGAAATTTAATGGTACTGAATAACGAAAATTATAACAAAAATATTTTTAAAAAAGCTTATTCATTTAATTCCCGTCTAATGGGAAATATTTTTTTATATATATAGTTCTGAAAAGGGTTAGATAATTTTCAGTGATATCAAAAAATCTACAGAAATTCAACACTATGACCTTGGAAATTACTGTAAACCAATAAATGTATTTATTCGTGTGTGAAAAACATCTACATTGTACGAGTTGCTTAATCAACATTAACCCGCAATATCAATACTTTAATTTGTTTATGTAATTACCTACAAAGAAAATAATACACTTGCTTAAAATTACTTTTGCGAAAAACCATTTGAAAAATAGTTGGTTGACAAGTATAAGGTATGCAGATATTGCACACCTGTCTATGAAGAGTAAACATGCCTTGTTATCTGGTATACATAAAGCACTATATTTCTTAGTATGCTTGTTACTGCGCAGAAAAAATCGTTTGTTCTACAAACAGTTAATGGTGTAACACACTCACCTTGTCAGGTCTATCACTTGAACAAAATCCTGGAACAGACTGTTGTTCATACCATTATATATTTTACATGTTTTACTGGTCTATTCATCATTTCATTATGCTGTTAGGGTTTCAGGATAGAATATGATGATTCACTGCATGCAAGTAACAGCTTGAAATGCGTTCTACATATTCCAAACAACCAAAATGAATTTGAATTTACATATCTAAATTTTTAGAAATAAAAATACATTATAGTAAATTTTTAACCAAGCATCTCTCTTAACTCCTTACTAAGATACATGTATTAAAAGTAGTGAAAAGAAATAGTACAGTACAATAATATATTCGAGAAGTGGTATAAATCAGATGTAGATACATAGAAATCTAACAAAATTTTGGAAAGAAGATGTATGAACAAGAATGCCGAAAGCGTCTGATATTCAGAATTCACAATCAATATGTGAATTGAGAATTCAAATTAACTTCTCATTTTTGAAATTTATGAAATTATGAGAAAAAAAATTTCTGAGAAAAAAAAATCTGATTTTTTTCTTTCATAAAAGTATTAGATGGTATTTATGGGATTCGAACTCCTAATCAATAAAAATCCGACATATGACTATCATACTGCTTTGAGACTAAAACGCTAACCACTATGCTATATGCCTCATGATGACTTGGGCATTGAATTCATATTTGTGATATGACCCTTGAATTAATGGACTTGAAGTATTTCTTTAAAATATATGATTGTTTTGTCATAAAAGTTACTTTAAATGTATTGTGGGTCAAAACAAATTGTTGAAGTACGAGAAAATGATCGTTTTTGTTCTTTTTAGTGTGTGTATGCTTTTTCATAGGCAAATATTTTCAGTTTGTGTGAGATTTTTGTAAATTTTGGAGATTTTACATTAGGTTTAGTTTGCTATTAGATCAAATAAAATTTGGATTTAATTGAGAATAAATTTTTCACTTCTTGTCTGTCGCACTATAGGCACTGCGTACCAAATTCAAATCTTGAAAACTATCGACTTTTCAACTTTATGCATAACCATTCCTCGCGAGAAATTAAAGCCCAGGCCTTTTGACAGCTTTTTTTTTTTTATAAAAATAGAACTCGTAAATTTACTCACCTTGTCATCGGTCATTTGCAAAATTATTTTGTTGAATCATTCTTATTTTACACACAAGTAATCTAAAGTTGATATTAAAAATATGTTTGAGTTTCTGATTGACAATATCTATGTTGTTTTTTGATTCCATCAATTTATAGGAATTTCCATGGGTACTTATTGCGGCGCGCTATCTACAGACCTATTTTATTCAAATGAAATAGAAATTGTTTAAATAAGGGAAAAAAAGAAAACACTTGCTGTAGCCTTCAACTTGACATTTAGATATATCGACGATCTATTGCAATGGTATAACAATGGTTATTTTCATTCTTATGTCGATATGATATATCCCGTTGAGCATGAAATAAGAGTCTGACATATCAATTTTATATTTTGATATTTACTTGAAAATCACTTTAAAGGTAATCTAACAACCAAGCTTCGTTATAAAAGAGATGACTCACTTTATATTGTCAATTTTCCTTCCTGATGCAGCAATATGCCTTCATCATCTTCATATTAGTTTTATAACTCTCAGTTGATTCGTACGCAAGAGGATGCTCTACATACGTATGAACATTTATTTTAAAACGTAGTAAGTAGTTGACCAGCAAGTTGCTTAAACAGAAATATCAGCTGTCTCGTTTAAAGTCATCATTTCGTAAGTCCTGTAGTCTATACAATGACCTTGTCAGCAAATACAATTTATCAAGTCAAGTGCTGACTGACGTTTTTCATGGTTATAGTTACACCCTTATTTGCATACTGAATTGTCGACGGATTTTTTCGTCGTTTCCTAATCATGATAAAAATCATACGAGGGGGTGATCGGTCGGCAGGCGATGCTCACTCCTCAATGGTACCTGATCCCATCTCCCTAACAAAAATACTATTGTTATATATAGTTAACTATTTCTCCATAGTTAAGTTAAGCGATAATTGTGACACAAAAAAACTTTGACACTTTGATTTACTATAGTAATAAATTTGACACTTTGAATTACTTTTTCGATAATTTAGATGCTATGATTTACCAAAGTGATCACTATGAAAAATTTGATTTACTATGAAGATTACTTTAAAGATTTATTATAGTGAAAACCGTGACACTATAATGATCATTTTGATACTTTGATATACTATAGTGCTCACTTTAACACATTGATTTACTATAGTGCTTATAGTGGTTTCATTTATATTTGTGGGATCAATTTTCGTGGATTTAGTCAAATTCACAGTTTCGAGGATACGTAAATTCATGGACAATGGTCTTTACAGAAAAAAAAAATGACAATCATCTTTTCATATTTTCTTTCCTCGTATGCTTTAGCGGGAAAATCATGTCATTTACAATGTTATGACATGTAGATATTTTTAAAGAAAAATACAAACAGGAGAAAAATCTTAATTTATTATTTATTTTATTCCACTGGTTCTTTAAAAGATTTTAAAAGTTTGATATGTCTTTAAAAGTCGGAAACTTCAACAGTGAATTTTATCTTATAGGCGCAGGTGTGGAATACAGACGATTACTACATGTAAGTGCGCAACTGTTGAATACGGACGATAATCGAGTGTGGCAACAAGATATGAAAAGTAACCATGGTAACAACTATTAAGTATTTCAATTAACAAAATGGCGTTAGTTACTTATTGCTTGGACCCTGAGGTCCACGCAGTAAATATATAAACGAGGTTAAACCGGATGCCATGAGCAAACGACAGGCTACGCATGTGCGAGAATGCAAGTGAATTCGCTCATTAGGCCACTTGCCCGTAGAATAATTTGCCTTATTCGAATTAGAATATGCCATTCATTGACAAATCGCTCTTTTAAATCCGCATATCGTATTTATATATTCATTGGCGGATCCGAATTTCTCTTTTATACATATACGTTGATATAAAAACTAAACATTGATTCTATGGCACAATCATTTTAAAAAGTAGGAAGAACTTGCTGTATATAGATACATGTAACTTAACAACTTGAATAAAAAACGTCATTCAACGACTAGTTTGGGCTTTTAAACGATAGAACAAGTTTTCAACGGCATTAATAATTAGTTTGGTGCATCAAGGCTCACAAAATAATTTGATATTTCAGCAATCCAAATACCGTTTGATAGAGTTCTGTAGCAACGGTTTTGAATATGAAAGATGGAAGGGGGCTTCGAAAAAAAATTGCGTACTACAGAGCTGTGCTTTACATGTAGCATCAGATCTATTTTCACCATGATAGATTTCTTCCGTATAAATCCAGAACAGGTGTCAAATCCCAGCCATTATGGGTTACATTTATCAACATAACCCGATTTTTTAAAGGACAGATGTTACAAACAAACTTTTCTCAG